AACCCCAGGGGCCATCCAGTCCAACTCTCTTCTGCCATGCAAGAAAAGCACAATCAAAGCACCACCAACAGATGGCCAACCAGCCATAATGATAACAATAACAACAACAGGAGCAACCCCAGGGGCTATCCAGTCCAACTCTCTTCTGCCATGCAAGAAAAGCACAATCAAAGCACCACCAACAGATGGCCAACCAGCCATAATGATAACAACAACAACAACAACAGGAGTAACCCCAGGGGCCATCCAGTCCAACTCTCTTCAGCCATGCAAGAAAAGCACAGTCAAAGCACCACCAACAGATGACCAACCAGCCATAATGATAACAACAAAAACAACAACAGGAGCAACCCCAAAGGCTATCCAGTCCAACTCTATTCTGCCATGCAAGAAAAGCACAAGCAAAGCACCACCAACAGATGGCCAACCAGCCATAATGATAACAACAACAACAACAACAGCAACAACAACAACAACAACAGCAACCCCAGGGGCTATCCAGTCCAACTCTTTTCTGCCATGCAAGAACAGCACAATTAAAGCACCACCAACAGATGGCCAACCAGCCATAATGATAACAACAACAACAACAACAACAACAGCAACCCCAGGGGCCATCCAGTCCAACTCTCTTCTGCCATGCAAGAAAAGCACAATCAAAGCACCACCAACAGATGGCCAACCAGCCATAATGATAACAACAACAACAACAGGAGCAACCCCAGGGGCCATCCAGTCCAACTCTCTTCTGCCATGCAGAAAAGCACAATCAAAGCACCACCAACTGATGGCCAACCAGCCATAATGATAACAACAACAATAACAACAGGAACAACCCCAGGGGCCACCCAGTCCAACTCTCTTCTGCCATGCAAGAAATGCACAATCAAAGCACCCCCAACAGATGGCCACCCAGACATAATGATAACAATAACAACAACAACAACAACAACAACAACAACAACAGGAGCAATTCCAGGGGCTATCCAGTCCAACTCTCTTCTGCCATGCAAGAACAGCACAATTAAAGCACCACCAACAGATGGCCAACCAGCCATAATGATAACAACAACAACAACAGGAGCAACCCCAGGGGCCATCCAGTCCAACTCTCTTCTGCCATGCAAGAAAAGCACAATCAAAGCACCACCAACAGATGGCCAACCAGCCATAATGATAACAACAACAACAACAACAACAGGAGCAACCCCAGGGGCCATCCAGTCCAACTTTCTTCTGCCATGCCAGAAAAGCACAATCAAAGCACCACCAACAGATGGCCAACCAGCCATAATGATAACAACAACAACAACAATCAAAGCACCCCCAACAGATGGTCACCCAGACATAATGATAACAACAACAACAACAGGAGCAACCCCAGGGGCCATCCAGTCCAACTCTCTTCTGCCATGCAAGAAAAGCACAATCAAAGCACCACCATCAGATGGACAAACAGCCATAATGATAACAACAACAAGAACAACAATAGGAGCAACCCCAGGGGCCATCCAGTCCAACCACTATGCAAGAAATGCACAATCAAAGCACCACCAACAGATGGCCACCCAGCCACAATGATAACAACAACAACAACAACAACAGGAACAGGAACAGGAACAGGAACAACAGGAACAATCCCAGAGGCCATCCAGACCAACTCTCTTCTGCCATGCAAAAAAGCACAATCAAAGCACCACCAACAGATGGCCAACCAGCCATAATGATAACAACAACAACAACAACAACAGGAACAGGAACAACCCCAGGGGCCATCCAGTCCAACTTTCTTCTGCCATGCCAGAAAAGCACAATCAAAGCACCACCAACTGATGGCCAACCAGCCATAATGATAACAACAACAACAACAGGAGCAACCCCAGGGGCCATCCAGTCCAACTCTCTTCTGCCATGCAAGAAAAGCACAATCAAAGCACCACCAACAGATGGCCAACCAGCCATAATGATAACAACAACAACAACAGGAGCAACCCCAGGGGCCATCCAGTCCAACTCTCTTCTGCCATGCAAGAAAAGCACAATCAAAGCACCACCAACTGATGGCCAACCAGCCATAATGATAACAACAACAACAACAGGAGCAACCCCAGGGGCCACCCAGTCCAACTCTCTTCTGCCATGCAAGAAAGCACAATCAAAGCACCACCAACAGATGGCCAACCAGCCATAATGATAACAACAACAACAACAGGAGCAACCCCAGGGGCCATCCAGTCCAACTCTCTTCTGCCATGCAAGAAAAGCACAATCAAAGCACCACCATCAGATGGACAAACAGCCATAATGATAACAACAACAAGAACAACAATAGGAGCAACCCCAGGGGCCATCCAGTCCAACCACTATGCAAGAAATGCACAATCAAAGCACCACCAACAGATGGCCACCCAGCCACAATGATAACAACAACAACAACAACAGGAACAGGAACAGGAACAGGAACAACAGGAACAATCCCAGAGGCCATCCAGACCAACTCTCTTCTGCCATGCAAGAAAAGCACAATCAAAGCACCACCAGCAGATGGCCAACCAGCCATAATGATAACAACAACAACAACAACAGGAACAGGAACAGGAACAACCCCAGGGGCCATCCAGTCCAACTTTCTTCTGCCATGCCAGAAAAGCACAATCAAAGCACCACCAACTGATGGCCAACCAGCCATAATGATAACAACAACAACAACAGGAGCAACCCCAGGGGCCATCCAGTCCAACTCTCTTCTGCCATGCAAGAAAAGCACAATCAAAGCACCACCATCAGATGGACAAACAGCCATAATGATAACAACAACAAGAACAACAATAGGAGCAACCCCAGGGGCCATCCAGTCCAACCACTATGCAAGAAATGCACAATCAAAGCACCACCAACAGATGGCCACCCAGCCACAATGATAACAACAACAACAACAACAGGAACAGGAACAGGAACAGGAACAACAGGAACAATCCCAGAGGCCATCCAGACCAACTCTCTTCTGCCATGCAAGAAAAGCACAATCAAAGCACCACCAACAGATGGCCAACCAGCCATAATGATAACAACAACAACAACAGGAACAACCCCAGGGGCCATCCAGTCCAACTTTCTTCTGCCATGCCAGAAAAGCACAATCAAAGCACCACCAACTGATGGCCAACCAGCCATAATGATAACAACAACAACAACAGGAGCAACCCCAGGGGCCATCCAGTCCAACTCTCTTCTGCCATGCAGAAAAGCACAATCAAAGCACCACCAACAGATGGCCAACCAGCCATAATGATAACAACAACAACAACAGGAGCAACCCCAGGGGCCATCCAGTCCAACTCTCTTCTGCCATGCAAGAAAAGCACAATCAAAGCACCACCAACAGATGGCCAACCAGCCATAATGATAACAACAACAACAACAGGAGCAACCCCAGGGGCCATCCAGTCCAACTCTCTTCTGCCATGCAAGAAAAGCACAATCAAAGCACCACCAACAGATGACCATCCAGCCATAATGATAACAACAACAACAACAGGAGCAACCCCAGGGGCCATCCAGTCCAACTCTCTTCTGCCATGCAAGAAAAGCACAAGCAAAGCACCACCAACAGATGACCATCCAGCCATAATGATAACAACAACAACAACAGGAGCAACCCCAAAGGCTATCCAGTCCAACTCTCTTCTGCCATGCAAGAAAAGCACAAGCAAAGCACCACCAACAGATGGCCACCTGGCCTTTAATAATAATAATTGTTGTGTTTCAAATAATAATAATAATAATAATAAACATTGACAAAATCACGATCTGTCAACTGCAAAAGGCCACCTTACTTGGATCTGTGCACATCCTTTGAAAATACATCACACTGCACTAGACCCTTGGGAAGTGTTCGATTTGTGATTTTGTAATATGAAATCCAGCATAATAATAATAATAATAATAATAATAATAATAATAATAATAATAATATGGCCAGTGAAGCTTTTGCACAATTAAACCTTCTGCACCAGTTGTGCCTATACTTTGGGAAGTCAGACTTGGCCACGGTGGTCCACAATCTTGATACATCTTGATTAGACTACTTCAACACGCTCTACGTGGGGTTGCCTTTGAAGACTGTTCAGAAGCTTCAAATAGTCCAACGGGCAGCAACCAGACTGCTCACCGGAGCGGCATACAAGGAGCACACAACCTCCCTATGAAGTCCTAAATGGTTCTGGCTCAGCTTACCTGTCCGAATGTATCTCCCTCTATGATCCACCTCGGAGGCTAAGATCATCGAGGGAGGCCATTGGGAAGTAGCAGTGAGTAATGAAAGGGCCAAGGCATTGATATCTCCGGCCCATCCTCTGTTTGAATACTAGCCAGCAAGCCAATGCCTTAAACCAAGAAATAAGATTTACAGAGATACTCGCAGGAACACCTCAGCAAGTCAGAGTCCAAAAGTGGCAGGCTAAAGCTCAGAACCTCAATCAGTGGCTGATATTATTATTATTATTATTATTATTATTATTATTATTATTATTATTATTATTATTATTATATACCAGAGAAGAGCAAACCACAGACCACGTATTACAATTCAGCCTGAGGCCTGTCACATGCACAATGGGGAGGACCTTCTCACAGCCACACCAGGGCCACTCCAAGTGGCCAGCTTCTGGTCAAAGGACATTTAGTACAATGCCAAGTTTTGAACTTTGTGGTTTTTTATACATTATAACTGTATTCTCAATTCGCTTCTGACACGATAAATAAATAAATATCAATGACTTGGATAATGGAATAGAAGCGTAAGGAAGCTGGGGGTGTTTAGCTTGGAGAAACGGTGGCTGCAAGAGCCACGTTTCCACAGAGGTCATGTTTGGTGAGGAAGGAAGCTTGTTTCCTGCTTCTCTGGAGAATGAGACAGAATGGAGCCATGGACTCAAATGGCAGGAAATAACATTCCACAGAAAGCACCTCCAGAGAAGGAGACAAAAGGGACACCTTACCCAGAGTGTCCACCTCCCCATCATCTTCCATCTCAACGTCCTTGTAGAAGTTCTCTGGTCTGGATCCAGGAATTGGCCTCCTCCTTCTCCCTGGACTGAAAGCCAAAACCAAGGTTACAACAACATCTATTATAGAACTCCAGTATGCTGATGACAACGTCGTCTGTGCACATTCAGAAACTACTAACCACCTTTGCAGAAGCATACGAGAAGCTCGGCCTGTCATTGAACATTGAAAAAAACCAAAGTGCTCTTCCAGCAGTCACTGGCCTATCCCTCTCCAATGCCAGAGACACGGCTTTATGGTGTAACATTAGAAAATGTGGACCATTTCTGCTCCCTTGGCAGCCACCTCTCCACCAAAGTCAAAATTGATACTGAAATTCAACACCGCCTGAGCTCTGCAAGTGCAGCATTTTTCTGAATGAAGCAGAGAGTGTTTGAGGACCGGGACATCCGTAGGGATACTAAGGGGCTTGTTTATAGAGCTATTGTCCTCCCAACCCTGCTATATGCCTGCGAGACGTGGACAGTCTACAGACGTCACATGCAACTCCTGGAACGATTCCATCAGCGCTGCCTCCGGAAAATCCTGCAAATCTCTTGGGAAGACAAGCAGACAAATGTCAGCGTGCTGGAAGAAGCAAAGACCACCACCATTGAAGTGATGGTCCTCTGCCATCAACTCCATGTTGTTCAGATGCCCGACCACCGTCTCCCAAAGCAGTTGCTCTTCTCCGAACTCAAGAACGGAATATGGAATGTTGGAGGAAAGGAAAAGAGATTTAAAGATGGGCTCAAAGCCAACCTTAAAAACTCTGGCATAGATATTGAGAACTAGGAAACCCTGGCTCTTCAGCTGGAGGTCAGCTGTGACCAGGTGGCCGGTCCAGCGAAGTTGATAGCGGAAGACCATCGCTTCAGTGCTGGTGGTCTTTGCTTCTTCCAGCACGCTGACATTTCTCCACTTGTCTTCCCAAGAGATTTGCAGGATTTTCCAGAGGCAGCGCTGATGGAATCGTTCCAGGAGTTGCATGTGACGTCTGTAGACAGTCCACGTTTCGCAGGCATATAGCAGGGTTGGGAGGACAATAGCTTTATAAACAAGCATCTTATCCCTACGGATGTCCCGGTCCTCAAACACTCTCTGCTTCATTTGGAAGAATGCTGCACTTGCAGAGCTCAGGTAGTCTCGAATTTCAGTGTCAATTGAATTTCAGTGTTGAATTTCATGGACCACCAAACACAGCATTGTCCAGACACAAATCAAGAAACATGAAAGGTATGGCAGACTCATTCAACCAGAGGACCTGAGGAACCAACCCGGACACAGCATATTATTGGAGAGCACAGAAATGCTGGACCGCTCTCCCAACCATCACGTCAGGCTACACAGAGAAGCCATGGACATCCACAAGAAACATGTGGACAATTTCGACAGAAAGGAGGAAACCATGAAAATGAACAAAAAATGGCTACCAGTATTTAAAACAAAGGATGCTTGCCATAGATCCAGGTGAAATGTCAGGAGAAAATGCCTCTAGAACATGCCCATATAGCCCGAAAAAACCTACAACAACCCAGTATTAAAAAACTCTAAAATTAGGACAGTAAATAAAGAGCAGCACTCAAACAACAGTGGAATTCCAATCAGGGCCAGCGAACACCTCCCAACACAGGATTCCCCCCAGCAGGAAGCAGCCAAGCCTTGAAGCTACAAGGCCATTCAATAGTAATCAAGGTGGCCAATTGCAGCATTCCCACTTGCCTCCAACAGACAAGAGGTTTTTCTTGCAGCCTGGACATTAAAAACTTGACTTGCCTTGTTTCCAACAGATCTCACAACCTCTGAGGTTGCCTTCCAAGTCTAGGATTCTATAAGGGGAGGAGAGAAGGAGGGAGGGAGATGCTTTGGAAAGGGGTAAAATCGATTTGTATTTGGGGGGGGGGGTTGTTTACTTTTCTTGGGAGGCAGAAGAGGGGAGGATGGGGGCAGACTGGACGCAACAGAGAGGAAACAAACAAGGACATCTAATCACCTCTCAACAAAAGTTTGCTCCAGGCACTGTCAGGCCATTATATGCTAATCAAGGTGGTCAGTAGAAACATTCCCACCTAGCTCCAGCAGACAAGAGTCCTTTGTCCCACCCTGGTCATTCCACAGATATATAAACCCTTTTTCCTAGTTCCAGGGAGGGATTTGGTACAGGATACAATTATAGAATGGTGGGATCCTATAGCTGGAAGGGACTCTAAAGCCCATCCAGCCTAGCCCCATTTTGCCATGCAGGAATACCCGTCCAGAGCCCTCCTGAGAGATGACCATCCAGCCCCTGTTTACAAACATACAGAGAAGGAGACTCCACTGGGCTCCCATAGAATCATAGAATCAAAGAGTTGGAAGAGACCTGGTGGGCCATCCAGTCCAACCCCATTCTGCCAAGCAGCAGGAAAATTGCATTGAAAGCACCCCCGACAGATGGCCATCCAGCCTCTGGGTTGTTGTAGGTTTTTTTTTGGGCTATATGGCCATGGTCCAGAGGCATTCTCTCCTGACGTTTCACCTGCATCTATGGCAAGCATCCTCAGAGGTAGTGAGGTCTGTTGGAACTAGGGAAAAGGGTTTATATATCTGTGGAATGACCACGGTGGGACAAAGGACTCTTGTCTGCTGGAGCTAGGTGGGAATGTTTCAACTGACCACCTTGATTAGCATATAATGGCCTGGCAGTGCCTGGAGCAAACTTTTTTGAGAGGTGATTTGATGTCCTTGTTTGTTTCCTCTCTGTTGTTGTGCTGTCCAGCCTCTGCTTCTAAGTCTCCAGAGAAGGAGTCTCCACTACCATTCATTGAATCCTAGAGTTGGAAGAGACCTGGTGGGCCACCCAGTTCCATCATTGGTGGGGTTCAGAATGCTCATTGATTGTAGGTGAACTATAAATCCCAGGAACTACAACT